TGATCCACCAGTGCTTGCAGCACCATTGAAAAGTACCCCTTGCGGTTTACGTACCGGCTGCCAAGGTGGTCCGGTCCCAAGATAGGGATATGCGTTCCGTCTATCACCACACCACAGTTAGGGAACCCCATTGCAGGAAAGCCAACCACTATGACCTGCACGTTTCCCAGAGTCACTACTCTTGATAGCAGCAGCTCAGTGATTGCGTTGGCTACTTGGCCCACAGCAGCCTCCACAGTAGATTTGCCCACTCCAAATTGATTCCCAACTGACCGGTAGCTGTCTGGCTTTGCAAGCTTCAAGAGGGCTATTGCCACTCGTTTGTGAACTGTGAGGGCTGCTCTCATCTTGGTATTCTTGCGCTTCAGGGCAGGGGAAAGCAAGTCAAAGTTCCATGAAAGTGCCCTTACGCATATGAAAGTTTCGCAGCCACTGGGAATCATCCCAGACCCGCAACACTATGCGATCCCACCAGTCTGTGCTTGTTTCCCGGGGCCAGAATCGGCGTTCCACGACAGGAACCTGCCCCATGATGTCCAAATTGCCAGGGCCCTTACTTTGAGAGAAGTCTGTGTCCATGTCCTCATCACTCTCGTCACTGTGCTGCCGTCGCCTCCTTGCCTGCTTTTGCAGGTTTTGCACATATGTCAGGATAATGCACGAGGTGTTTACGATGCTCACAACACCCGCGGTGAGCTGAGTGGGCTCCATGCTTGCCATGGCATGGCGTCTGCAGGAGAGCAGAGTTGCAGTGGAAGTGGTGGATGATGATGGATGCCACGAGAATAGATATTTATACAGAACGATGAGAGGACCTGCAAGGTGGATTCATGGCACCAGGAGAGCAGAGTTGCAGCGGAAGCAATGGATGACGATGGTTATCAGTCCTACTGCACTATCTGCTGACAGCAGTATGGCGTCTGCACGGAAGAAAGGCGCGAAACGATTGTTTGCCATTGCTTTCACGGAGGGAGGGGCAACTGATGACATGTACCCAAAACCACCTGTGACAATGTTTTTGCCCCAGCAGGCATTGGGAGCTCAACCCAGAATTCCAGTGGGCAGTGGAGACTGCAGGAACTGTGGGATAGCTACCTACAGTGCAACACTCCAAAAGTCGACGCTAGCCACAGTACTGTGGACGCACTCTGCCAACTGAATGCGCTTAGTGGGGACACACACAACCGACTGTATAAAATCGCTTCCTAAAAATCGACCTAATTTCGTAGTGTAGACATACCCTTAGATTTGTCACCACAAAAGAATGGCTCAGGTGTGGGAATCTCCGTCCCATACTCTTCAGATGAAAATAATTCATTTAATTTCTCCACAATGGCCTTGTTTTCCCTGAGTGCTCCTTTTAGCATCTCGATCATCCAGTGGCCCCACTGACTGTTTGGCAAGCTTCCTGCTTCTGATGTACTTAAATATTTTTTTCCTCTTTTTGTGTGTGTGTGTCTCTTGCTAGTTGTTCTTAATTCTTTTTTTGGCCTGCCTAGTTATACTTTTAAACTTGACTTGCCAGATTTTATGCTCCTTTCTATTTTCCTCAGTAGGCTTTAACTTCCAATTTTTAAGCAATGTCTTTTTGTCTCTAACTGCCTCTTTTATTCTGTTGTTTAGCCATGGTGGCATTTCTTTTGGTGGTCTTGCTGTTTTTGTTTTCTTTATTTGTGATGTTCATTTAGTTTGCGCCTCTATTATGTTGTCTCCATGCGGCTTGCAGGCATTTCACTCCTGTGACTGTACCTTTTAACTGCCATTTAATTAGCTTCCTCATTTGTGTGTAGTTCCCCTTTTTGAAGTTAAGGGTGAACTGTGGTGGGTTTCTGTGGTATATTCCCCTCTACAGGGATGTTAAATTTAATTCCACTGTGGTCATTATTACTGAAGGGTGGTAATCTCAAAATTGTTTGTCGGATGAAAAACTGTTTCCTTCCCAGCTCGAGTGACCCCCCCTTCACCTGCCTATGTACACCCCTGAGCTGCTCTCATGCAAACTGATTGTAGGGGAGTTTGCCGCCTGCCTTAGAAATTCCAAACATCTTTTTCTTCACTTGCGCCAGTCAGCTGCTCCCTCTTGCCATCTGTCCTGAATTAGCCTCCTTTCCTCTCCTGAATGGGACCCCCATTCCCCTGCCTGTCTTCTGCACTCCCTCTTTTCCTCTACAACCAGTCTTCCTTCTGCTGTGTTAATTTCGATGGAATAAATGAGCCCAGCAAGTCAAAGGCATTAACATGACTGTCACTGTCCGACACTAAACATTAAGAATGGCTTGGGGTTTTGAGCACAGACACCTGCTTAGTCCCAGGGCAACAACAACAACCAGTAAATTGTTTTAAACCTTTTATTAAAGATACAGAAAAAGAAGGAAAAACAGCGAGCGCATTTAGAAAGGAGTGTATGAAGTAAGGCTTTCATTTTAACAGTATCTCTTACTCCCTTTCCCTTTAGCTGTAGAAAGTTTCTTATAGGGAAGACGACCTGACAGTTTTTAAATCATGTTCAAGATGATAGGTGTCCTTTTTGGGAAAAATTAAAAAGATGAGTTGAGATGAGCTGCAGCTGTTTTGGTGGAAGTTCAGTCTTGCTTCCTTAAGATAAAACAAGACAAAAGATGGTGACGAGAACAGCAAAGATAGAAGATGCAGCTCTGTCTTTGGTGCTGACTTTCACTTGCAACCTTATTGCTGGAAAAACATGGGCCCGGCACGTGGTCTGATCAGCCACACTGAGACCTGGCAAACTCATACCAATGTCGGTCTGTTTAGGACTTGCTTTCAGCTGCCTTTCTGGTCGCAGTCTCAGAGCAGTGTTGCAAAAAATGGTGTTTAAGCCTGACTCTAGACAGAAGATAGAAAAAGTGAGAGATGGGAAGGAAAAAGACACTTAAGGGTGGGGGTGAGAACAGAAACCCAAGTCTCCCATTCCAGGTGCTGTTCAGGGTTTAGCTGGAGCCTGACTTTGCCAGTTCCCTCTCTCTGGCCCGGGCTGGTCAGAATGCCTTTCAGGACCAGGATGATGAAGGCCCATTGGTGTCATAGCAGATCCCAAGGTCCCAGCCAGGAGGGTAAAGCGTGCTCCTTCCAGTCTAGCCATCTTTGGTGCTCTGATCCCCTCCAAAGCCTATTGTTAGGGACCCCAAAAGGGAGTGGTGCACAATAGCCTATCCCCTCATTACTTTGACTACTGGTGAGGTTTATTTTCCAACATACCAATTTTGGTCTGTTAATTTCCGATTCTGTTCTTGCGTTTACCAGTCATTACCGTAACACAGTCCCTGCGGTATCAGACCTCTGTGTGTATGCTAACCCAGTCTGGCAGTCTTTAACGTTTGCTGACTTTTATAAACAATTTCATGTAACAGGCCTCGCTGGATCCTTGTAACCCTGGACAGTTTAGAGTACAGGCCTCCGTGCAATACTTCCCAGCTCTGGCTGCTTCCTCTCAAGGGGCCTTTCTGACCCAACCTGGGACTTGCAGGGGGTAGGGTTTGTGTCATGTGACCATGGCAAAGCATCGCGAACTTCCTTAGAGCCAGGGCAGCAGCCCTGCCCCAAGGCTGCCTTGTGTCTCACTCTGCTTCCCTGCAGGGCTCCTGCCCACAGCCTTCCCTGGCCCCCTCCTGTCTGGCTTCCTGCTGCCAACGTTCTCCAAGTCTCTGGGTGGTGGGGCCATCCCTCCTTTGTCCCTCGCCTGGTTCTCTCTCCTCCCTGCTGGAAGCTCCTGCTGTTACCCAGCCTATGGAGTAGCACTCACATGACCCCCGCTGTTTCCACCTGCTGCTCCTCCTAAGTGTGATTCCCTGACGGGAAGGCATGGGCAGATGCAGAGTTCCTGTGACTTCAAGGGTGAATTTAATTCACTGACTTCATGGAGTGCCCTGGGGTCAGTCCTGGGGCGGTTTTGTTCAATACCTTCATAAATGATCTGGAGGATGGTGTGGATTGCACTCTCAGCAAATTTGCGGATGATACTAAACTAGGAGGAGTGGTAGATACGCTGGAGGGCAGGGATAGGATACAGAGGGACCTAGACAAATTGGAGGATTGGGCCAAAAGAAATCTGATGAGGTTCAATAAGGATAAGTGCAGGGTCCTGCACTTAGGACGGAAGAACCCAATGAACCGCTACAGACTAGGGACCGAATGGCTAGGCAGCAGTTCTGCGGAAAAGGACCTAGGGGTTACAGTGGACGAGAAGCTGGATATGAGTCAGCAGTGTGCCCTTGTTGCCAAGAAGGCCAATGGCATTTTGGGATGTATAAGTAGGGGCATAGTGAGCAGATCGAGGGACGTGATCGTCCCCCTCTATTCGGCATTGGTGAGGCGTCATCTGGAGTACTGTGTCCAGTTTTGGGCCCCACACTACAAGAAGGATGTGGATAAATTGGAGAGAGTCCAGCGAAGGGCAACAAAAATGATTAGGTGTCTGGAACACATGACTTATGAGGAGAGGCTGAGGGAACTGGGATTGTTTAGTCTGCAGAAGAGAAGAATGAGGGGGGATTTGATAGCTGCTCTCAACTACCTGAGAGGTGGTTCCAGAGAGGATGGTTCTAGACTATTCTCAGTGGTAGAAGAGGACAGGACAAGGAGTAATGGTCTCACGTTGCAGTGGGGGAGGTTTAGATTGGATATTAGGAAAAACTTTTTCACTAGGAGGGTGGTGAAACACTGGAATGCGTTACCTAGGGAGGTGGTAGAATCTCCTTCCTTAAAAGTTTTTAAGGTCAGGCTTGACAAAGCCCTGGCTGGGATGATTTAATTGGGGATTGGTCCTGCTTTGAGCAGGGGGTTGGACTAGATGACCTCCTGAGGTCCCTTCCAACCCTGATATTCTATGATTCTATGGTGAGTGATCGTAAAGGAGGCCCGAGTGTCTGCAGCATCCCCTGCCCTGGCTGTCTTTCTGGGAGGGGTGTTGAACACTAGCTCTGTTCCTCAGGGATGATGGAAGAGTCAAGCCCATGTTTGTTTTCTCCCCAATCTCTCGATAGGTTGTGAGTGACTTGAAGGCTGCAGACCAAGGCAGTGCCGCCGTCCTGCACATCTCAGATGGGTCCTACTACATCCGGGTGGTTGTTTCCCTGGAAGCCATGCAGATGGCGGAATGGTGGGTTTCACCTCATCTGTCGACCCCTGCTGGGGTAACTGCATTGCAGCTGCTGGCCAGGCTCTCAGCAGATTTCAATGAAAGTTGGGTTGGGCTAAATCAGTAGCTGGGTGGGAGGCCTATGTGGAAAGCCCATGTGCTGCTGGAAGTAACTTATCTACTTTCCCAGCACGATGCCTGGAGGTGCTGTGGTGCAAACTGTGTTGCCTTTGAGTTGAGATTTCGACTGAGGTCCCGCTTATTTGGAATCGTTAAAGGTCCAGTGGCACTTTACACAGGAGTCACAAAGTTTGGCTAGGACACCAAGGCTAATGGTAACTTCGGGGGGTTCCATTCTGCCTCTCTAACTTCCCTCTGCGGTTTCAGTTGGATCTGGTGTCCTTCACTTCCTGTCCTAAACAGTCTGTGTAGGGCTGCTGTATGTGCCACCCCCAATGTGGGTAAAGGGATTATATTGGTCTATAACCCTCCTTGGGACTCTGCTGGCTACAAGCTGGTATGAGGTGTAAGGAGCTGGGTTCATTTTGCTCAGCAGAAGGTTTGAAAGTTGCCCCATTCTTCAATTTCATTTTCAAAGGCGGAATTAAAATTTTTGTGTGTGGAAAAATTTGGGAATTGGACCGTTAGGAGAAAAAATGGAAGGAAAACACTTCTGCCATTTCTGCAATGTTTCCTTTCTACTTATCCACTAGCTCTAAGCTAAATGTCTGTCTGCTGGTGGAAGAGAAGACATGGCAGCAAACGTCCTGCTGATGTTCTCAGTGTCTCGCTTCCAGAGACAGACATTGCCCCTCATGATCATTTTCCAAGCCAGGGGTTCCTCCTCGCTTGGAGAACTGGGTGTTCATGCCAGAAATACTCGCTTCCCCAGCCAGCAGAAGATCTCTGTGAGCGTAGGTGGAATTAAGTGAACATTTATGAGCCTCCTGTTAGAAGCCTTAGTCCGAAATACACTCATCAGAGCTAGTGGTGCTTCTGAGGCTCCGCTGGAGTGTCCCTTGCTGTCTTCCAATAGGGTTTCCCCCGTAGTTCCCTTTCTCACAGTTGATGGAGTCTCCCACTGGCATCTCTGTCTCCCAGTCCCGCCTTCCCTGCAGTCTCCTCGCAGGGAGGCAGCAGCAGCCAGTCGCTAGACATTTGAGTGCAAGATTTGAGTTCTGGTTCCAATTCTGTCCCTGTCTCTCTGTGTCCTGGGGCAGGTTACTTCCCCTCCAAACCTTCATCTCCTCATCTGTAAAATGAGGATACTACCAGCCTTGGTAAAGGGGTTTGAGAGCAAGGCAGGAAAAGCTTTATGTAAGCACGAAGGATGATTGCTCCTGTGACACTGGGTGTTGCCTGGCTATATAAGTGCATCTGTGTGCTGGACATTAGCTAACAGCACTGGGGCAAACCACAGGTTTGTGTTAGGGTCAGACTTGAGGCTGCCACTGTGGCTTAGCCTGAACTCCTCAGTCATGCAGGCAGCAATTCATCCCTTGCTGATATAAAGCAGCTCATCTACTGCAGGATTCTGCCTCTCGCATCATCAGTCAGTGCCTGCCAGTTCTGTGTCCCGACTCTGTTGCTGCCGATGAATCACTGCTCAGCCTCCCTCTTTTCAGGCATGCACCAGGCTGAGCTCTGCAGCAGTGACTGTTAGAAAACTCTTGGGAGCAAAGCCTCCTGTTCCAAACATGGGACTGGAACATGCACATTTTAATCCTGGCTCCACCATGGAGTCATGCCACGGCCTTGAGCCAAGTTACTTAACCTGTCTGCCTCAGCTTCCCCATCAAAGGTGGGTACGTATTATAATGCCCCATTTTACAGATGGGAAGAATGCCATGCCTGTTGTCAGTAGCAGAGTCGCGAATAGCATGCAGGCCACGCAGCTCTAAGCACTGTGGTGCTGCGCTTGGGATCGCTTTGTTCGATGGTCGCCCAACAGGCCGATTTCTAACAGCGCCACTGAGTTGGAGCAGCGGTTCGAGTCCTCTCGCAGGCCATCACCTGACTGGTCATGCATGTTTGAGACCATTTGTCACTCAAAAACTTGTTTTGCTGCTCTGTTTTCTAGTGTTCAACTGCAGTCCGGGTTCTCCAACATCATTGGCAGGATTATCATCTTGCAGAAATACATGGTGTGCTTCCAGGAGGAGATCAAAGCGGTAAGGCTCTGTCTATCTCAGCAGCCATGGGATCCATCAGCTGAGCAAAGTGATGAGGGTCATATTCTAGGGCTGACGCTCTGCCCTGCTCTCTGGATATTCTAATGCTCTTGGATCCCGTTGAGATGCCTTGTGTTGAACAGGCAGCTGCCCTCATCAAGGGTCCAGAATCAAACGTAAGCTGGGCGTAGCTCCCCTTGTGCAGCTAGAAACCATTTAACTCGCTTTGTTGTGTGGCTGAGGTGTTCAGTAAATATTACAACATTGTGATGGGTTCCCTCCGGGGTGCCGCCTGGAATAGGGTACCATTGAGCCCACCTGACCCACCAGCCTGGGCTCACTTTACATTGTACTGCTGTGACAAGCTCTCAAGCCCCCTCCAGCGTGCATGCAAGTAGGGATACACTCAACTGCAGCACTACACACACAGGATCTTTAGCCAGCCCTTGCAGGAGTGAAATCAGGAAGGCCAAATCACACGTGGAGTTGCAGCTAGCGAGAGATGTCAAGAGTAACAAGAAGGGTTTCTTCAGGTATGTTGGCAACAAGAAGAAAGTCAAGGAAAGTGTGGGCCCCTTACTGAAGGAGGGAGGCAACCTAGTGACAGAGGATGTGGAAAAAGCTAATGTACTCCATGCTTTTTTTGCCTCTGTCTTCACGAACAAGGTCAGCTCCCAGACTACTGCACTGGGCAGCACAGCATGGGGAGGAGGTGACCAGCCCCCCGTGGAGAAAGAAGTGGTTCGGGACTATTTAGAAAAGCTGGACGAGCACAAGTCCATGGGGCTGGATGCGCTGCATCCGAGAGCGCTAAAGGAGTTAGCGGATGTGATTGCAGAGCCATTGGCCATTATCTTTGAAAACTCATGGCGATCGGGGGAGGTCCCAGATGACTGGAAAAAGGCTAATGCAGTGCCCATCTTTAAAAAAGGGAAGAAGGAGGATCCTGGGAACTACAGGCCAGTCAGCCTCACCTCAGTCCCTGGAAAAATCATGGAGCAGGTCCTCAAGGAATCAATTCTGAAGCACTTAGAGGAGAGGAAAGTGATCAGGAACAGTCAGCATGGATTCACCAAGGGCAAGTCATGCCTGACTAATCTAATTGCCTTCTATGACGAGATAACTGGCTCTGTGGATGAAGGGAAAGCGGTGGACGTGTTGTTCCTTGACTTTAGCAAAGCTTTAGACACGGACTCCCACAGTATTCTTGCCAGCAAGTTAAAGAAGTATGGGCTGGATGAATGGACTATAAGGTGGATAGAAAGCTGGCTAGGTTGTCGGGCTCAACGGGTAGTGATCAATGGCTCCATGTCTAGTTGGCAGCTGGTATCAAGTGGAGTGTCCCAGGGGTCGGTCCTGGGGCCGGTTTTGTTCAATATCTTCATAAATGATCTGGAGGATGGTGTGGATTGCACTCTCAGCAAGTTTGCAGATGACACTAAACTGGGAGGAGTGGTGGATACGCTGGAGGGTAGGGATAGGATACAGAGGGCCCTAGACAAATTGGAGGATTGGGCCAAAAGAAATCTGATGAGGTTCAACAAGGACAAGTGCAGAGTCCTGCACTTAGGACGGAAGAATCCAATGCACCGCTACAGACTAGGGACCGAATGGCTCGACAGCAGTTCTGCAGAAAAGGACCTAGGGGTTACAGTGGACGAGAAGTTGGATATGAGTCAACAGTGTGCCCTTGTTGCCAAGAAGGCCAATGGCATTTTGGGATGTATAAGTAGGGGCATTTGCCAGCAGATCGAGGGATGTGATCGTTCCCCTCTATTCGACATTGGTGAGGCCTCATCTGGAGTACTGTGTCCAGTTTTGGGCCCTACACTACAAGAAGGATGTGGAAAAATTGGAGAGAGTCCAGCGGAGGGCAACAAAAATGATTAGGGGACTGGAACACATGACTTATGAGGAGAGGCTGAGGGAACTGGGGATGTTTAGTCTTCAGAAGAGAAGAATGAGGGGGGATTTGATAGCTGCTTTCAACTACCTGAAAGGGGGTTCCAAAGAGGATGGCTCTAGGATGGTTTTCAGTGGTAGCAGATGACAGAACAAGGAGTAATGGTCTCAAGTTGCACTGGGGGAGGTTTAGGTTGGATATTAGGAAAAACTTTTTCACTAGGAGGGTAGTGAAACACTGGAATGCGTTACCTAGGGAGGTGGTGGAATCTCCTTCCCTAGAAGTTTTTAAGGTCAGGCTTGACAAAGCCCTGGCTGGGATGATTTAGTCGGGGATCAGTCCTTCTTTGAGCCGGGGGTGGGACTAGATGACCTCCTGAGGTCCCTTCCAACCCTGATATTTTATGATTCTATGGGAAGGCAAAGCTAAGGCACCTCCCAGTTCCTAAGGAACGCACTGGGGTGCCAGGGTGTCATAGACCTGATAGCAAAATAGTGAGGAGGAGAATGCTTGGGGGAAGAAGGGGATCTTGAGGAGGGGAATTGAGCTATCTGGGAAAGGAATGGAATCTGGATCCTCAAGGGAGGGAACATGAGCCTCTCCACACATCCACACACAGCCTCTGGTTCACCCCATGTTCACAGCAGAGATGGATGGTGCACATGTAAACTCATTCTGCTCAAGCAACACGTTGAGTGACCCCCAGTAGCTGCTGCCTGCCAGGGTCTCCAGCCATGTTTACAAGGCTGAACCCTTGCTTTGGGCTAGAAGAGGGGTGGCCTACCTGTGGCTCCGGAGCCACATGCAGCTCTTCAGAAGTTAATATGTGGCTCCTTGTATAGACACCGACTCCTGGGCTGGAGCGACAGACGTCAACTTTCCAATGTGCCTGTGCGGGGCTCACTGTTCAACTCCTGGCTCTGCCACAGGCCCTACCACCATTCCACCCCTTCCCGCCCCCTTCCCTGAGGCTGCCACGCGCTCGCTCCTCCCCCCTCTTCCACTGAGCCTCCTGCACACCACAAAACAGCTGATTGGGAGGTGTTGATCGGCGGGGCTGCCGGTGGGTGGGAGGCGCTGGGAGCGGATTGGTGGCTGCTGACAATGGCTCTTTGGCAATGTACATTGGTAAATCCTGGCTCCTCTTCAGGCTCAGGTTGGCCACCCCGGGCTAGAGAGCGGAGCTGGTGCCTTAAGCCATGACTCTTTTTGCCTAGGAGCACTAGATGGAGCTCCAGAACTAGTGCCTCCAATGCAGCCCCTGCGTGGGCAGGCGGATGGTGTGGGCCTTCCCAGTATGACCTCTCCTGAAGGTCATTGTCTCCTGGTGCTCCTTCGCTAGGGAACCAGCTCCTAGCTGTGTGGTCAACAATGGCCACCGCTCTCTCGACATGCAGGCAAGCAGCCTCCTGATATTTCATCGCCTGCTGGGCCTCCTCTTCCAGCTTGCTCTGGGCAGCCAGCCTTGTGAGGCTCACTGAGCTGATGGCTGAGGTACTGTGGAGAGCTCCCCCCCACCCCACCCCCTGAGTGTCTTCCTCCTGAAGGGTCCCCCACCTTCCCAAGGGAATACAACCCTCCCCAGCTCCGTGTCCTTCAGCAGCAGGCCCTTCCTTGGGCCTGGCTCAGCACCACACTGCTGTCACTCTGGCTCTGCCTTTCAGCCGGGACTCACCTCTCATGGTGCCTCCAGTCCTACACCCTACCCCTCTTCCTTATGTGTGGTCGGCGCCTGGCACTGCAGCCCTGCGTTGCCTCTCCCCAGGCTGCCTCCAGATCTTCAGGCCCACGCCTGCTCCTGGTCTGGGTCTTTGCTCCCCAGATGTCTTCTTTGCTGCCCAGAGGGCCACGTCTGCTATGGGTCCCTGGGGCCTGTCAAACATCTCTTATGCAAAACAGCCTCTGCTGACATGCCGGGATGCAAATGAGGCCCTCCTATGCCCCGGGCGTGGGCATGGGGACAGTTTGTTGTGGATGCACCACCTGGTATGGAATATTCTGGAGGGCATGGGATGGAGATGGGAGTGCAGCCCCCAGTTGCTGACCGTTCTGGATGGGAGTAGGGGCTTCCTCACGTAGACTGTTCTGGGGTGCCACCTGGGCACAGAATGTCCTGGGAAGGGTGAGGGGGGTGGAGGGCATGGCAACGCAGCATGTCTGATATGGAGCGGGCCTCGATGGGATGTGGAGAGACAGTGGCGGCCCATGAGTGTGTTACATTATGGATGGATGTGGGAAAGAACCAGTGAGTATCAGAGAACATTTGGAATGAGGAGACGGCATAGATCATTATGGATGTGGTGGGATAAGGTATGGAACGTGGGGGATGGGGCACGGAATGTGGGGGGATGGCGTGGGGGTGGGGGACAGGATGGGGCAGGTCACATGGGGGATCGGCAGGTGGGGCATGGCATGTTGGGGATTGGGGGGGGGGTCCTTCATCTGTTTTACGGAAACTTTTTGTGCATTCCAGACCTGAGGGACTGGGTACCTGGGAGGGTTGAGATCTCTGGAGAGGTCTGCGTCCTGGTGTCACAGGAGCCTGACTCCAAGCTCCCCATGCATACCCATGCCTTACTTGTGGGGATGAAAGGCAAGGGTCCAGTGACTTAGGGTATCATAGAATCATAGAATATCAGGGTTGGAAGGGACCTCAGGAGGTCATCTAGTCCAACCCCCTGCTCAAAGCAGGACCAATCCCCAATTTTTGCCCCAAATCCCTAAATGGCCCCCTCAAGGATTGAACTCACAACCCTGGGTTTAGCAGGCCAATGCTTAAACCACTGAGCTAACCCTCCCCCAATAGGTAGGGGCAGTGCCAGGCTCTGGAGAACTGCCCCTCAGAAAATGGGGTTTGTGAGGGGAGGGAGGATGTGGTGGCTGGAGGAAGCAGGCACTCCCAATCCCATTACACCCTCAGTTCCTTGGTGACTGTGTCATAATGCCCGTCCCATGATGAGGTGACTGCTTGTCCTCTGCTCCTGCACTTGCAGCCCAGGAGCTTTCCCAGAATCCTTTGCAGCAGTTGCCCAAGAGCTTTCTAGGCACTCCTTGGCCTGTCTCCCCCGTGCTCAGAGGTTTGTGACTTGAGCCTGAGCAGCCCAAGCCTTTCACGCTCCAAATAACACAGCGGGGAGGTTTGTGGATGCCCCAGCGAGAGCCGAGGGGAGGGAAGGGGTGCGTGGATGTGTTTGCTTGCAGTGTATTATTCAGCCACTAGTGTCAGGGGTGTGTGGTTGGTTGTGGTACATGTATTCAGACGCTAGATGTGTGCGTGTGCATATGCTGTTTAGACACTGGTGTGTGTTAGCTTGCCGTACGTTATTCCAGCACTGGGGTTTGTCTTTGTGGCACGCTATTCAGATACGGGGCGGGGGGTGCTAGCTTTCGGTATGTTGTTCAGCCACTAGAGGTCTCTGTGCCATCAGGCGCCCTGGCAACCAGGCCGGGGGCGGCTGGGCCGGGGCTGTGGGACGGCCATCCACTGGGGGCAGGCTGTTATCCCGCATAGCGAGGGGGAGCCCCAGAGAGGACTGAGGCGAGAGGGCCCCCTCTCCTGCTCGCTCCAGCCTGTGACCTGCAGCGGCCACGGCCCCCCACCCTTCGCGTACCCCTCATTTGCTGAGGGGCCTGGTGGAGACACTCCCATTGCTCCCTAGGCTCCTACCCTCCAGTGCCCGGGGGGGGCTGAGGAGGAGCCCAGAGCCAGTGCCGGGGGGAGCAGGTGGCTTTGCTGTGCACCCCACGCCTGACACTGCCTGTCCGTCCTTTCCAGGAGGAGTGCGAGTTCTACCTGTCCGTCCATCAGTTCATCGTGTTGCCCTTGCAGAGGCAGAGGATGGAGGCGCTGAACTGGTAAGGCCCTCTGCTTGTGCGGCACCTGCCAGCGTGCACTTCCCCCCTCGCTGAGTTTGCAGCTGAGGATGGGGACCCCAGGGGGATCCCACACCCCCAAGGCAAAGCCAAGAGATTGCAAACAGTGCATCAACTGGCCTGTGTGTTGCATGGTTGTGCACGGGGTTGATGCCAGAAAGACCCTAGTATCGCACCCTCCAACTTCTAATTTTATCACCCCCCCCCCCCACCTCTAGGAGCTTGTGGGGTTAGCAGCAGCCAGCTTCTACAGCAGCCAGCTTCCACACACACACACACACACACACACACACACACACACACACACACACACACACACACACACACACACACACACACACACACACACACACACACACACACACACACACACACACACACACACACACAGAGGGGTAGCGCAGCTCTCGTTGCACTGGGGTGAGAGCTGCAGGGGTGCACCAGCCATCTGCTTACAGGGGAAGAGGTTCGGCCTCTTGCTTGTGCTGAGGGATCAGGTTGTTCGCAGCATATCCAGCAGCTCGGATTGACTCTCTTCTTCTCCTGCCTGCAGGAGACAGGGAATGGGGGAGAGCAGCTGATAGCTGGGGATTTCCCTGGAGAGCAGGGTTCTTCCCTGCAGGCCTGTCACAGAGACAGAAAACCACCCTCTGTGTGGGAACTGCATAGAGTTGGTGGGTCTGGGATCCCATCTGCCTCTTTACCCCTCAGAGGCCCTGCGGCAGCGCACCTCACTCAGTCTCCATGCAGCTCACGGCATGGCCATTTCTTGCAAATTTATGGTGGGTCATGGAATTGAGGCCCTGGCTGCAGATGCTGTGAAAAGCTTCACCCATCATATGCTTTTTGGAAAGCAAAATAAATATATGAGAAACTCTTCCCAGACAAGGCTCTGGCTGGATGGCAGGTTTGCTAAACTGCATGCTCAAACTCCTAGCTCTTCCAGGGATGATATTTTTGTGCCTTTGCTATGGTCTTGAAAGGAGTAACTATCATTCACCATTTTCACAGATAAGCTACATGCTTGCAGAAGATCACTTTAGGCAGAGCGGGGCATAGAGCCCAAGTCTCTAACAGAGCGGAGTTAAGTTTCAACCACTTTGCCACACAACCTTCCATAAGGAACTTCTCCAGTGAGGGATGGGATGTGACAGTACAGGGATGGGTCACCCTTTAGCAAGTAGACCATGTACAGAGGTCTGAGTCTACTACTACTTCCATGCTAAGAGATGTGGTCCTTCAGGTCAAGTGGGTGAGCCTCTTATTTTTACATCCAGCGATCCCAGGTCCATTCCTCACAGAATGAGCAGTGGCGCTGGGCTGGGCTCTCTCACCACAATGTTCTCTGAGCTGGAAATAGAAACTTAGAATCCTAGGGCCAGGTTCTCAAAGTGTTTTTAGGCACCGAACATCCATTTATTTCAATGGGAGTTAGGCACCTAAATACCTTTTGGGGATCTCCACCTGAATGCCTAGTGTCCCCTTGCAGTCCCTCAAATACTTGGAGTCAGACTTGGGCTGCGGTCTTTTTAACTTCCTCTGCAGCATGAGAAGTGGAGATCATCTGGTCATATCTCACTTAATCAATCTCCTGCCGCTGCCGGGGCCTCAGATATTGATTCACCTAGGTCCATCCTGTTCTCTGCCTGTGGCCCCCAGTAGTTTAATCTCCTGATGACTGTAATACTTCGATGGAATTATGGTTGTTGGATTTCCTGTGCAAGTGGCTGAGTGTTTCGGTGGCCTATGCTAGAGAGGAGATGGGACTAGAAGATGCTCCCCTCTGGCTTTGAACTCCAGAACATTATGATTTATGTACCCGCTAGCAATATGTGATGGGCCGGTCCGTAGCTTGTTAGCTCTTCAGGGCAGGCGCTGAGTCTTACTCTGTGGCTGTACAGTGCCCAGCCCAACGGGGCTCTGATCTCAGTTGGGTTCTCTATTGCGAGCTCCCGCCCAAGAGGCTAAAACCGCCTCATTCGCTATTTGAGAGAGTTGGCCATAGGGTGGAGCGCTCGCACACAGTGGGGTGCGCACAGAGGGCAGAATTTAGAAGACAGACTAAAAATCACAATTGAATCTTAAAACTCATGATTTTGGGGCTAATTTTATAGAATCATAGAAACAGGCTGGAAGGGACTTCAAGGGGATCACCTAGGCCAGCCCCCTGCCCTGAGGCAGGACCAAGCAAACCTAGTCCAACCTGTTCTTAAACCTCCAGCGACAGGGATTGCACAACCTCCCTTGGGCATATTGCAGAATTTAACTACCCTGAGAGTTAGAAAGTTTTTCTAATATCTAACCTACATCTCCCTGGCTGCAGATTAAGCCCATCACTTCACTGGGCATGGAGAGCAATTGATCACCATCCTCTTTATAACACTCCTTAACATCATGAAGACTGTAATGAGGGCCTCACTCAGTCTTTTCTCCAGGCTAAAGATGCCTAGTTGTTTTAACCTTTCCTCACAGGCCAGGTGTTCTAACCCTTTTTGGGGTGTCTGACTCATGGGCTTTGAACCTGCAGGGCTGGCCATTCTGCGCTCCCTGCAGAACCCCTTAGTACTTCTCTGGCCCAGCTGCTTGGGCACTGCAGAGGTTGAAGGCATGTAGTCAGTCATTGAGGCTTTCACTAGCCCCCTGTGTGATGGTTCTCTAAACCCCTCATATGCTCCGTGTCCCTGTTTTTCCCTGGGGGCTCTCTGCAGCTCTAAACTGCTGTTCTCCCCCTGGCTTTAATCACATCACCCTTGGAGGAACTGCACTGATATGAGCCAGTCTGCCAGAGGGAGATACTGTGCAAGTTAGATGTGGTTGTCTTTATGACCATCCCATGTGTTCTAGCTCATCTGCTCTTTTGGGGAGGGGATGAGGGAAGGGGGAGATGAAGCCTTCAAGGAAATAGCGCTGCTTGCTATAGCGAGGGCAGTGCCTTGTGTGGGCGTGTGGGGTAGGCTGCTGCACCGGTAATCAAGACTCTTTGTTGTTCCAGTAATCAGGAGCCCTCGATCCTCCAGAAGATAAAGGAACTGTGGCAGTGAGTACATGGCCCAGTTATGGCGCCATTTTCCCGACTTGCCGAGATCTGTGCTAGATCAGGGCATGGGTAGTGCTGACTAGTGAAAGGAAGTGCATGTTTACACAGCTTCCAGTGTGTGGGACTCCTGTGTTACAGGCTGTGATTGAGCTTGGCAGGAGTCACCAAAAAAAAGCTGGTTTTCATCGCTGAGCGTGTTCATAGTTGGGATGAAATGTTAAGGTGTGAGCCCTCGTGCTTCAGGGCGTGAGGAAACTTCCCCTACTGGCCATGTATTCCTCCTGAGTGAGCAGTGGCTCGGAGGGGTAGAGGGACCATTGCCTTGCTTGTGAATGGCTCCCTTAGGGCGCAGGAAGGCAGCTCCTGCTCTGCTGAGACCATGCCTTACAACTTCCACTGCTCACCTCCTGTTTGGGGTTTGTTGCTGAAGAGCAGCATGCTCCCTGCTTCATATCCCCGAGGAGGGAGTTGGGCTGAAACAATAGGGTTAGCTCCCCTGTGTCTCAGTGCAAGAATCGCACCCGGAAGAGTAGGGCTAGTGCATTCCTGGAAAGGCCCATCTCCTCGAAGTGCACTGCTTTGCTTGTAGCAAATTGGTATAGTGAGCCTGCCAGAGTGAAATTGCTCAGAGGGAGAGAGGCCAGGGACTGGCTCTGATTCCCACAGGGGCTCAGTCTTGGGGCACTCCCCCTGGCTCTGGTTTCCCTGTTGGGCCGGGGGGCACTGCATGAGCTTTGTAAGGTTTTCTGTCATGTGCTGGCCAGGGAAGATGTCTGGAACCTGACCCTGGGATCTGTGGTGTTTGACTGTTGCAGGAGAGGCCTCACCCTGAAGACCATTTCCTCCTCAGGTATGGTGGGCATGGTGATCGGAGAGGCTGGAGGGTGCGGGGGGGGCGGTGTTGTTGACCTGTGTGAAATTAGTTGGTGGATCTCAGTTCTCAGTCCACCTTACACAGACCTCTGCCACAATGGCACTAACTGCCCGCCTCGTCAGCCATCCCAGCAAGGAGTTGGATGTGGTTTAAAGACTGACCTGTGCTCCGGAGCTGTCTGCTCTGGGCGGGGCTGAGGCGTGCTGGCTGAACGGCATGGGCAGTGCTCCCTGATGCTGCCAGGGCTCTCGGTGGATAAACAGGACTGAGGGCTTTGGGGATGTCAGTGCAGCTACTAAACCCACTGAAAACACGGAGCCCGGGATCCTTGCCCTCATCTGTGCTGCAGTCAGAGAACCATTCTGGAGCAAAGGGCTGTAAACCCAGTCAGGCCAGGGGGAGGCCCTTAGTCTTCACTAAGCGCAGGGAGTTCGGCCTGAGGATTTGCTTGCCGCATTTGGCCACACTACACTGGTATCCAAAGGAGGTGTGTTTTCCCTGAGGTCAGCCTGCTCTGCCCAGCCTTCCCTCTGGCACTGGGTGGCTGCCTCTGGAACTCTCAGCAGCACGAAATGGTCTTAAGAGTTTGGTTAATAAACAGCCCAGATTCATATTAACTCCCCCGGCCCAGAAGTGATGTCCTTGCTGGTGAAAGGGGCCTGATCAACAGCCCTGGCACTGGCCATCCTGTGTGCCTTCACAGAGCATGGGCAGTGCCCCCTTCTACCTCGCTCCTACACAGGAGTGCCACGTCACTGCACTGATTATAACTCTGCTCCTGTTGGGCAGCCTCTGACTCGTCTGCATTCTAATGAATCAGCCCCTTGCCTCTCTGTGACAGGCAGCAAAGCGGCTGGCACGAGGCCGTGGTGTGCTGTGGGCGCCTGTCCATCAGGAACTGCACTGAGACGCCCCCATCCTGGCTCTTAGCACCCTTGCTGTTCCAGTCCTGGGTCTTCCTGGAGCCAAAACTAACACACAGCTGAGGGCTCGGAGCAGACCCCATCCAAACTCTTCTTGCCTTCCCCAGTGCCTTTGGGTTGCCCCCTTCTGCCCCAGAGCCGGCGGCATTTCGTGCTCAGTAATTCTTGAGCGGTACATCCTTTGCAAAGTGCTTTGGTGATCCTGTGTGATGGAAGGTGCTGTGGGAATGTAAGACAAGTTTGTTGCTAGGAGCAGAAAGGAAGTACTGAGAGCTGTTGGTACAAAATAGCTTCTCCAGGCTCTCTGTGTGTGTCACAGCTAGGCTCTGGGCTCGCGGCCTCGGGCCTGTTGACGTGGGCACGTCTGTCTCCCTATAGGGACCTCGGTGTCTCAGTTAATGATCGACATAGGGCAGAGACGGCTCAAGGTTTTGAAGCAGAATGTCGAGGATTGCCTGGATTTACTGGACGCAAGTGAGGTGCCAGCCATAGGGGAGAGGCTCCCTGTCACCAACTGGGAGGCAGAGCGCAAGAGAGAGGAGGTCAGTCCTGGCTGCCAGCCTGTCCTGGCTGTGCGTGTGTCCAGTGATCTGGTTCGGGGCCAGGCGGGGTTGAGGGGCGATGATGGGGCTCTTCTCGCAGAAGGAAGAGGTAAATCCTTCGACCTTGGGAGGGAGGGACCCAGTTGGAGGGAGTGAGGGTGGCTCTTGCTGTGGCATACAGGCTTTTGGCATTTCTTGGGATAGTGATGCATTGCGTCGGGTTCCCAGAGCTCACGCGGGATGCTCAGACCTAAGAGTTAAAATCAGCTCTTCCGGGCTCACTCTCCTGGTCTGGGGAAGAGCTGCTGGTTTTCCCAGTGATGCTAGGAGCCCCAGGGATGGGTCAGTGTGCCGGGCTGCCTGGACTCCCTGTCCATCTGTCTGTGGAATAGAAGCTGGCTAACAGTTCTCTTTTCAGCTGAGTAAGGACGTCTTTACAGTACCAGCCAATGTCCTGGTGATCAGCTCAGAGGAGAAGGAGGCGATTCGTGATGCCTGCCTGGCAGGTCAGTGCCACAGCCATACCTACAGGACGCAGACTGTGCACAACAGTCTGCTGTTTCTGGGCTTGGGCTCTGCCTGAGCGCCTTGCAGACCTGATTTTGAGAGCTGCAGGCTCTCAGTCAGAGCTCCCTGCATGTTAGCAGGCTCCCCGCTGGCTGGGGCTCTCCAGAAGCGTGCCCAGGTCTCAGTGAGGCACCCTCTGCCTGACACTCTCTCCGCTCCCATCCCTCATGAGCTTTCTGCACCAAGAGCTTTCTGCACCAACTGGGTCTGCCTCTCAGGGGTGGCTCTGGAATGGGGGCAGGGCTCCCGAGCCGCATGGTTCAGTCAGGCCCTGCCTGCAGGGCTGCGCTCTCTGGGGATATTGGTCCACGTGGCGTGGGATGGCAACTGGTATTCCAGTCCCTGGCCTGGTCCTTCACAGATGCAGCTAGAATGAGATGCTGCCTCTAGCCAGGGGATTTGCAAACCCTGTAATCATCCCCAGTGGAGACTGGGGGGCTGCAGTGGAGCTCTGCCCTGAGGGGTCCTTGTGGTTCTGAGGGGGGGGGGGCTTTAGGCTGCTCTCGGGGAATGAGCTGAGTCAGCGAGAGGCACCCAGAGTGTGACGGCAACCCCCCTTTTCCTGCAGGAGCTCCTCACACTGTTCCTGGGAGTAGCTGCCTTGACAGGGACCCGGATGACAGTACCATAGTGTCATGCCCCAATGGTGAGTAGAGGAACCTGAGCCAGTGGCCACTGTTCCTTGCTGAGGCCTTTCGCCTGGCCTGCAGTTCTCCAATCTGTAGGGCCGCAGTCTAATTTCATTCTCGCTTTTGGCAGACCCTAGTGCGATGTCCCGAAGTTTGGACGTATCCCTGGATAATCCCTGGGACAAGCTTCAGTCAGTGTCCGTGACTCTGTCATCCTCCTTGGAAGGTGAGTGCACACATTTCCCTACAGCATCTCCTGTTGCAAGTGGAGAGCGTCTTTCCTTCTCTCTCTACACCTTCTGGAGATACAGGGTCAGACAGGAAGAATTGTGTGCTCATGTGCACGCGCACGCAATTTATAAGCCTTGTTACCACCATTACACTTGAAATTGCACACTCACTTCTGCATACGCAGTTCTTAAAATGTGGCCCATGATGTGTGCACATGCAGGGGATGAGGATGGTTTTCAGGAAGGTGCAGCCTGAATCTCTTTGATGTATTCAGGTGCCTGTTTGTGTGTGTGATAGCGTTTGCCAGTCCACCCATCTGCATGCACCAAGGGTGATAGACTTTATCTCCCCCCATAAATGGCTGATGCCCTTGCACAATATTGGTGGTACCTGTATCATGGTAGTGCTTAGGGACCACCGGAGATCAACACCCCATTGTGCTAGGTGCTGTACAGACACAGAGTAATAGACTAACTCAACAAGACAGACACAGGCTGGGGGCGGAGGATAGCGGGCGGAGTGAGCAGCGGGATCAGTGACAGAAGCTGGGACAGGATCAGCTAAACGGAAAAACACCAGAAGGGAGAGGGGATGTGGAATGAGTCGGGGCGGGGCAGCCTGTACAGCAGGGAGAGACTCTGTGAGGGAGGATGTTGGTGCAAACAGCCAATCAGCACGGAGGAGAAAATGCCCAATAGAACCTGGATAAGACACTTGAAGGACACCTCCGGTAGCCAAGAGTTGCTGTAGCAGAACCAACGAGGAGTCCTTGTGGCACCTTAGAGACTAACACGTTTATGTGGGCATAAGCTTTCATGGGTTAGAACCCACTTCATCAGATGCATGGAGTGGAAAAGACAGTAGCCGGTATATATACATACTACATGAAAAGATGGGAGTTGCCTTACCAAGTCGGGGGTCAGTCTAACAAGACAATTCAATTAACAGTAGAATACCAAGGGAGGAAAAAATCACTTTTGTAGTGGTAATGAGGGTGGCCAATTTCAAACAGCTGACAAGAAGGTGCGAGTAACAGTAGGGGGAAATTTAGTTTTTGTAATAACCCATCCACTCTCAGTCTTTATTCAGGCCTAACCTTCTCCTGCCAACTTTGCCATCACTGGCCCCTGTGGATAGTTCCCCTTTGGAATTGTCCTTCTCCAGCTGCCTTCCCAGCCCCAGAGAGGTGGGACAGGCTCTGCCCATGCTGCTGTCTCCTGCCCTCGTCCACAGAGAAAGTTCTGTTTTGTTCTCTTTTGTTCTCTTTTGTCAGAGAAGTCCATTATCCAGCCCAGCCTGCCAAGCACACAAGAGGCCCAGCTGGCCAGCTCTGCAGAGGAAGCGGCTATCACGCAGCCTGACAGCAACACCCCAGATTTCTTGGAGCCTTCCAGCCAGAAGTCCCCTTCTACCTTATCCCAGGGTGAACCAGTGAAGACTGTATCCCCATCACTGCTGTCCTACAGCAGTACACGTGCCCCAGAGGTTGCCAGTCAAGGAACAGCTGCTGCCACATTCCAGAGGGCACCACATGTGGACAAAAACCGTGATGCCAGCCATGACATTCCCTGCGGCCAGCCATCTGGGGCTTTCCAAACCAATCTGTGCCCTTTCTCTCCTGCTCTTCCTATTTTGGGCAGCATCAACAGCAGAGCAGCACCCCCTGCAAATGGAGGGCAGGCTGATCGTGGTGGCGTGGCTTCCCTCCCAGATGTGGGGAACAGTGGTCTGACAAGCTCTGAAGGGGACACTGAGCTAGGGAGTGGAGCTGGGGGAAAAGATCTGTGCAGGAGCAGGCAGCACAGGGTGACTAAGAGAAAGCTGCTGGTGGATGACGGTAAGGTCCATGGCCAGGTTTTGCCCAGCCCAGGCAAAACCCATCAGAGAGCACAGAGGAAACCTCCCCATGCGGATGTGCCCATGGGGGACATGCGCTGCATGGACAGGAAGATAGTGGGCCAGAACCCAGGTATGGAGTTGGTGAGTGCTCAGAGAGCCAAGAAGAGCAGGCAGGAGCAGGCCGGGCCAGCTCAGGAGCCTGCACTGCCTGGGGACCCGGAGGGGCTGCCAGGAAGGGGGAATGAGACAGCTGCAGTCGGGAGCATGGCTACATCCAGGCCAGGCCAGCAACAGGTAAAGATTGAGAGGCTCATTGTCACTTCTTAGTTTTGTCTTAGTGTCCCACAGTCTCCTGTCTCCCAGCCCCAAGGCCCTGCCTTGTAGCCACCAGCCTTCCAGCTGAGAAGAAAAGGGAAGGGCTCCCTCTGAGGCTGTCTGCCTCTCCCTTGCTGGGTCTGAGCTTTCTTCCCCTGCAAGAGTCCTGCTCCAGGAGCAAGGGGTCTGTGTCAGCCCACGTCTGCCAGGGAACTGCCCTCTGCCAGGCATTCCCAATAGTAGCCATTGCTCCTGTGCCAGACAGTAGACAGCCATGTCCATGGTGGGAAGGTGGGAAAAGCCTGTTGTGACCATGTGGTTGGGGAAGGGGGAGGCAGAAGCCACATGCAGCGGGATTTGGAGGAGCTAGTCAGAGCGCAGGGGTGAGAGTACAGAGAACACACTCCAGCACTTGCTACAAGTCACCTCCTGGGCTCCCAGATGGAGACGGGGTCCTAAACAACCAAGGAAATCCTCCAGCTCTCTAAGTAATTAACTCAGTAACGTGTGAAAGAGGCCCTGCCATGCTGCACATGCTGAAGTAGGCTCAATCTTACAGCACAAGGCCCCCTCCTTGGAGGGGATCAGTCATTGTTTCAGGGGACCTCTCCTTAAGGTTGGTGTCTGTTTCGGGAGGCTTTCACTCCAGGGCTGCGCCAAGCACTCAGGGTAACTCAGATTTCCAAGAGAATCCCCTGCTCCTGCATGCTGGCTTGCCCAGAACTCTTGTCTTTCCCTGGGGACATCTAGTGTCCTGGTTCCACTGGGTAAACGTGCATGAAACCAGCTCCTGAGCCAGGAGAGCTGGTGGGGAAGAAAGCTATGCCTGGAGCTCTGCATGGGCTGGGGATATTTTTGAGCTGTGATGTTTAACATAGATTGAACCAAATTGTCTCCCTTCCCTCCACAAGTATGTGAAAACAACCCCGTTTCAATACACCTACAAGGCACCAACACCAGATCTCTGTGCCCGAGTGAACTCCACCAGGTGAGTGCGGTGCGTGGGTCTCCCAGACGGGCACACACCAGCTAAGTGGGCTTCTCAAATTCCCTTTGCACCTCATAAGCTGCTCTGCATCCTGTCCAAAGCAGCTGGCACGGCTCCAGAGACCCTATTGCCGGTACAGCTGAGGCGAGAGCTGCGCCGGTCCCCCTTAGATTTCACTCCCATCCACCAGCTCCCTCTGACAACAGCTTGGGCCGCAGTGCCATGCTGCTGTCGGGGAGCTGCACTTGCATAGCCCCTACGAACCCAACCTGTGGGTCTCTGGCCATGCAGTGACTGACACTGCTGTGAGCTGGGTCCCCACTGCTTCACTAGGCGGTGGGCTCTCAAACCAAGCCAGTGTGGTTCACACTGTAATGAAGAGATTGACTCATGGCCCTCTCCCCTCCCAGTTGCGGTTATCAACATGTGGGTGGTAAGTATGGCAGTTCTCGCCTGTGGGGCGTAGAACTGGAGCGCTAACCCATGTTCCCTCTCTGAGAACACTAATCGCACTTGATTTGTCTCTTCATTACACAGCTTAATTCCTCTCACCTGCAGTGTTCCCCTGTCCACTGGTTCCCTTCCACCCTGGACATACTGTCAGTACCTTGTTCCTTTCTCCCCTCATGGGCAGCTGGCAGTCCCAGCTCTTGGCCAGCTCTAGTAAAGGCAGCCAGGCTGACTCCTGGTTTGAGCTGCTCTTACAGTCCTTGGCAATGAGTGCTTGGACCCTTGTCAAAGCAGCTGAAGAGAAGCCGTGGCGCCATGTGACCAGCCTCTTTGGGGATTACCAGTCACTGCTGTGTGGAGCACAGCTTGGGCACAGCTGCTCTGGGGTCTCGCTCAGGGGCTCCCTCGGCAGAGTACAGCATTATTCTGGATGGCAGCCGAGCCCTGCGGTAGATAAGCACGGCAGCTGCACAGCAGCCGTCCCATTCTCACTCGTGCTCATGTTTTGGTTGACAGGATCTCGAAGGCGATGCTGCGGTGGGCCTGCTGGGTGATCACCAAAGCTGAGCAGCCCTGAGGCCCTGGTGGAGTTCCAACGTGCTATTCAGAGGTTCTCCTGTTCTTGTTCACGGCTTACCCAAAGGGAAGAGCATGACTCGATATCCCTACAGAGTAGGCTCTCTGGGGCCAAAAGGAAGGTCCGTTGGCACTCAAGTTACCCAAAAGGCACTCCAATCCCCACAACTCCAGCCCAGACTCTTGGAATAGCTACTGTGCTGTATGCTGGGAGTCCCCTGCCACAGTGGGGGCAGCTGAAGGGCTGTGGCTGCTGCAGGGAAGCAGCATGCGTGACCCTTTGCTGGCATGGTGTGACACTGCTGAATTTCAGGCTTAGCTATGGCTGGGAGGGGCAACTGGTTTTCTTCCTGTGCTCCACGGAGAAGGGCTGGTGTAGGGCAAGTCAGGTAGACAGGATACCTTGCTGTGGGATATTCTGCTCTCCCTCCTCCCTACAATCACCTCTTCAGCATGTTAAACCCCAGCTGGAAAGCAATGCCCTTCAGCGCTCTGCCTGTCCCGCACACCTGCCCGGTCTGTTATTTGTCAAGGAATGCAATGAGCGAGGATAGGAGCAGGCATCTCAAAAGCACACGCAGAGCACCTATGAGCAAGGGGCTTGCTACATCTCCTTACAACCTCCAGCATCCCTTAACTGGGCTAATGCCCCAGCCCTAGGCTCCAGCCAGAGGAGTTCCCATGTTGTAGCAGAGGTTAGGAAAGCACTGGTAGCGTTCCTTATCCGCAGCAGTGCACCCCTCTACCAGTTGCAGCTCTGGAGTCAATGCAGTAGTGTGGTCTTTTAATGCTTTGTTTGTTACAAAATATTTCACATGGTTTATGCTTTGGAAATGAAAAATAAAAAGTTGTCTGTTTTTAAATACATGGCTCTGATAGAATATCCTCATCCCCCTCACACACATCAGGTGCAGCAAGGGGCATGCTGCGCAGCTGGAGGGGGAAGCAAAGGGACCTGTTCACAACACAAATACAGCATCCTTTGCTCTGCTTTGTGCTGGTGGAGGCTGTGGGCCTAGTTGAGCTACAGGCAGGTACTGTCTGTCAGAGGAGTGGGAACAGCTGTGTATGTGAAATAGCAGGGCTAAGGAAGTTTTGTTGCCTTAAGATAGCGGTTCCTAAATAGGGAGGGGGGTGGGGGGAGAGGTGTGGAGGAACATGGGGGGGGGGGGGGGAGATGCAGAGAGGGCGTGCCCCAGCTGCAGCTCTGGTCTTAGCTCCTGGCAGCAGCCCTGATTGCCAGCCCCACCCCCAGCTCTGACCCTGGCTCTGGGGACAACACAGATGGGGGGGAGGGGGCTGATGTAAAACATTTGGGGACCACTGCCTGAGGCTGTGAGCCTGGGGACAGAATTACTTGTATTTTTGGCTGCTGAATTTTGATCCAGACTCTAAATTAAATAAATTCTAGCCCTTGTGCTGGTGACAAAAACCTTAGCCAAGACCCAGATGTGACTGACGTGTCAAGCCTGCAGCTAGCTGGAACCAAGAGCAGGACAGGTCTGAAGAGCTCCATTCCTCGCAGCAGCTCATCTTTGCAGACCCTGAGTTCCTGTGCTTATCAACCCCCCCCCCACCCTCCCAGCTGCCTAAACCTGCTGCTGCTTCAGAGCAGTTGCTCAGTTTCTGTGTCTAATTCTGCAGTATGCTGAAATGATGGGGCACCTGAAATAAATGCACCAGCAGGAGAAACACACAGGGAGCTACACATGTGGGATTAGTCATGTTCACATTTTAATCAAACCCTCCAGGTTTGTTTTTTTGACTGACTGAGCAGTGCCCCAGAATTTCCAGCCTGCCATGGTGGAGCAGAGCAGAACGCAGAACCAGCATGTACAGAGCACATGGGCTGTGCCTTCAGCCCAAACCCCTGTTGCTGGAAGTGGAGGATCTGCTTGAGTAAGAATGGCAGGATTATGTATACAGGTTAAATCAAACTGACAGCATGCACCCAGACTAATGGTTGGAGGGGAACGACCCGTTCTGGGCCCCAGAAGAGACCGATTGCTCTGTATTGAGTAGGTTTGGATGTGAGTATCACACGCTGCCTGAAAACCACCTAACACAGCATTGCACAGCCCTGTTGTTCTGGGGCTGTATAATACAAGGCAAGTTCCCATGTATGGCACGCACACACAAGTCACTGGCCCATAGCTGTGCATGCATCCACAGAGCCAGATGCTCCAGGAAAAGCTTAGGCTGGTGGCAAACTCAGCTACTGGCTTTTGGCATCTCCGTTTTAGGCAGCTGGAGCTTGTGTAAAGCCAGCTGTGTGCAGTATGAGACTAGCAGAGGGTAGTGGGAGCTGGAAAGGGGGTTCTCCTGTAGATCATTCAGGAATTGTTAGCAGCCCCCCCAGTGGGGCCAGGCTCTGGTCTGTCCCCATTTCCATAGGCAGCGCTGATGATCTACACCTGGGAGCACGAAGGGATGGGGAGCAGGCTGGGGGCCTCCTCCCCCATCTCCCCGCTGCCTGGGCCATGGTGCCCCACACTGCACAGGTGCTTAAGCTGCTATTGCAAATTATAACCCTTCAGCTTGCACTCGGTCGCAGTGGTTTATTGGAAATGACAGCGGGTGGCAGCCCCCACTAACTCATTGTCCCTGGGGGGCTGCTGGCAGGTCTGGAGCCACTGCTCTTTGGTGTATGGCTGTTCTGTGCATTTTCAACCAGTTGTTCCACGGCTTGCGGCCACTCCCCCTGCAGTTCGGCTGTGGCCCTGTGCTCGTCCTGTGGCAGAGAATCTGGGGAAGGGGCCACAAACACAGCATGAGCGAGGGTCACAACATTACTAACGGTGCCTCCGTAGAGCAACAAAGGGAGCTGGGAGCTGCAGCTCAGTAGGAGGGGAGAGGCCTGTCTGGCTGCTTTAGCCTCTGTGCACCTGTCCCCACAGGGCCAGATTCTCCCCTTTACACCAGTGTAACTGCACTGGCCTCAGGGTGGCCACTCCCACCTCACATTAGTCAGGGGGAGAGCACGCAGGTGTAGGGAAGAGGAGTGGACCGGGCCTGGGGGGAGGCCAGGCAAGCACCAGCAGGAGGTGCGGGGGCAATGCGGAAGGGGAAAGGGCTCTGAGTTGGTGCGGGTGCCATGCCCTGTGCCCATGCTGTAGGGCTAGCCCATCCTTACCCTTCAGTGCTGCTGGGGGGCTGGGTGTGCTGCTCCCTGCCACATCCACCAGGGAGTTGGGTTGAGGTTTCCGTTTCAGGACTGGCGAGCGCTGCAGGCGCAGGGGGATTTTTACACCTGGAGGAAATACAGCAGTGTGATGTTACCAGCTGGGGGGGCCCACTGGCGGGGCACGGGGCCCGTGCAGGAGCCTAGGCCACCTCTATTCCTGCTGTTGCAGCACCAATGTCAACAGCACTAAAGCAGATTTGAAGTGGGCTCTGGCCCCTTTCTTCTTGGAGCTCGCAGCTGGGGTCTGGCAGGCTTGAAGGGGTGCACGGGGTGTGTGCGCGCACATGTAACCCATGGGCCTAATAGGGCGATCTCTCTTTACGAGACCCATTGGGGGAGGCAGGCGTGAGCTGTGTCTGGGTCACTGTTGCTAGGCAGATTAAGCATGCCACATCCAGAAGCTTCTGGAATGGGGGGTGGTAGTTTTGGGTCTGCTCCCCCAGGGTCCCTGGTGCAGGGTCAGGCTCCCTGCGGGCGAGCGGTCAGGACGGCGGCTTTGCAGAAGGCCACGGGCCCCGGGTGAGTTCGGAGAAGCTGAGCAGGAAGCAGGCTGGTGTCCCAAACGCTGAAGCGTTTTGTAGCCGGTTCGTGGTCTTGTGACCCCTCTAACAGGGAAGCCTGGGCAAGGCACATTATAGCCAGGGAAACTGGGAGGGAAAAATCACTTCTGTTTTAATTGTCCGTGTGGAATGTTGTTTTGATTTTAGTCAAACTGTTCCCGTTAACTTGTCTCAACTAGTCTGAGGCACCAGCTTTTCTTTAAATGTGATGGGGGAAAGAGTCATTTCTATTTTGCTATTCTCAGCTTTGTATTTTCTTGTAACAGGGTTTTCCTTAACCAACCACTCAGTTACGTGTCTAGATTTAAACAGTCAGCTGACTGGCTCGCAGTGCTTTCTGCGGGGGACGAGTCTGCCTGGATTCCAACTGAAGATTCCTACAAGCAAGGGGAGGGAAGATGTTTTAGACTCAGCAAACTGTCTAGATTTGGTTATCAAAGACTGAGGCTTAGGTGAACAAAACCTAAGCTTTTGGGAACTTTCAGGTTCTTCTCGCTGTATTTCTGTGGGGACTAAACTGTTCAGATTTTAATTTGTTGTTTTTATTTATGTATAACTGTGAAGGTAATGTCTGTGGGTTATAACAGCCATGTCATGTCATAAAAAATAGATTTGTTTATCATAAGATTTTATAAAGTTACTTAATTAAATTCCTCTTTAGTTCCTTTTGGGACTTGAACGTGGGGAGGTTGACCCTGTGCAGTCCTTGCTGAAAATCCTTCTAGACTGACCTCTGGGGCTCCAGCTACTTTCTGGGGGAGTGGGGGTTTTTGTTGGCACTGGAGGAGGGTAATGAAGTGAACTCTAGCCCACCAAAGGTTACAAATCGCTCGCTCGCAGGGAGTCTGACCCCACAACAGGAACCCTATGGGACCAGACCCAAAACTACCACCCCCAATTCCAGAAGCTTCTGGATGTGGCATGCTCAATCTGCCTAGCAACAATGACCCAGACACAGCTCACTCCTGCCTTCCACAATGGGTCTCGTAAAGAGATATCGCCCTATTAGGCCCATGGGTTACACACACAAGGTTTCAGAGCGCAGTTACAAACCAACAAAGAGGCCTAGGGCACCTTATAGACTTTATCTGACAAAGTGGGTGTTCACCCCTGAAAGCTTATGCTCCAGTACGTCTGTTAGTCTATTAGGTGCCATAGGAGTCTCTGTGGCTTTTACAGATCCAGACTAACACGGCTGCCCCTCTGATACTAGTTACAAACCAAGTGAGTGTCGCTGCTGGGCACAAGCAAAACGTCCCCTAGGCTGGCCACCTTATCTGGCGCGTTTCTGAGCTCCGCTGAGTGACCTGCCTTTTTAAAAAACCCAGCAACAGAAACGGCACTGGTTTCAGAGCTGTTTGCGCTGGCGGATGCTGGCTCAGGGCACAAAGCCACAGACGCTTGGGAAGCAGCTCTGCTGCGCTAGTGACTGTCACTGTACCCGGGGGGAGCGGGGTAAATGCGTGCGCTGCTGGGTCATGGGGCACCCAGCTACCCAGTTTGCATTCGCACAGCTAGGTACCCATGGGCACTGCTACCCTGTGGGAAAATCAGCCCCTGTTGTTTCAGGCCCAGCAGGCCTCTGCCAGATCAGGAGCATTTCATTTAGGTGCGCAGGAATTACACCAGGTCAGAACCATAGACTCGTAGGACTGGAAGGGACCTCGAGAGGGCTCTAGTCCAGGCCCCTGCCCTCCTGGCAGGACTTCATTACCCCCCTAGACCATCCCTGACAGCGGTTTGTCTAACCTGCTCCTAAAAATCTCCAATGAAGGAGATGCCACAACCTCCCTAGGCAATTTGTTCCAGTGCTGAACCGCCCTGACGGGATGCCCAGCCCTTGCTGCGATCTAACCCCACTGCTTCTTGTCCTGCCCTCATGTAGGGAGCTGGCTGATCAGCCGCTCGCAGGTGGTGCTTGCATGCCCTGGACACACCCGCACCAGGAGAAGCTCGGGCCCCAGGGCGCTCCCCACACTTACTCTCCAGAGAAGCCGCGCAGCCCTGCTCCCTGAGCTGTTCTTCGTGAACGGAAACGGCGCGCCTGGTGGCCACGTTTTTCAGCCGAGGCTTGGGTTTCAGGCGATTGTCTGAAAAGAAGAGGAGACTGTCTCAGAGA